TCCTCAGAGAGGTTTGAGATTGTCTTCCTCAGAGAGGTGAGGAATCTTCAGAGTTTTTCTGATCAATTGAATTAACGTAGCGGGCAGTGCTGTGAACTTTGTTAAGATGTGATTGGAATGAAAGTTTGTTAAATTTTATTTGAAAATGAATCGAAATTGTTTTATTTTCTATACAATTGGTTTACTTTTCACTTTTCATTTTGGATGGGAAAAAGAAAATTTAAAAAATTATCAAAATATTTCAGATAATTTCCCGTTCATATTGATGAAATTGGTAGCTGTAAGGTTGGATGATTGGATTAAACGTACTGATTTGATAAATAGACATTCAACGTGTCTCATTTAGAAAGTAACGTCTCGGCTTTCTTTAACTTTATGTCGAACTATCATTACGTGAATGTTACATAAACTCTATTAAATAATTGTTCAGCTTTCATCATTCTTCCAAGGCACAATGTTCGAAATACCGTTAGTCGGAAAGCTGTTGTCAACGTCGGGTTACACGTATTTGAATGATATTATCGATCGCTTGCACTGGAATATTACTGTTTCTGTCTTAATTCTGTGTGCTTTATTTGTTGGTACAAAGCAGCAATTTGGACAACCAATACAATGTATGCTTCCTACACATCTCGATCGTACGTTTCCATAATTTTTACTTATTATTACTTATACTTTTTCTGTTCCGGAGTAATACTACTTTGAATTTACCTTCTTATCTAAAAATTTATTAATGATATTATTACTCGAGCAAATTTGCATTGCGTTACAGGAAATTCGTGGTCCAGTTATGGCCAGTATTACTGTTTTGTTAAAAATACTTATCGTTTAACATTTAATAAGGCATTACCGAATGCAAATAGTCGAGCAGAATTGCGCTCAAATTCGGATGTGAATTATTACCAGGTTGGTATCTTAGAATATCTATGCATAATTTCCAAGGAGTATGAATTTTGAATTATTTTTATTTTGATTCATTAAAATTTACTTAACGTAGTACATGGACATCATATATGGAAAATTTTCATTTTATGCTCACAATAATGAGTAATATACTAAGCAACTAAGCGGTTGATACAAAAGTGGAAGATTCATAGGTCAGATATAATTTCAAAGATTGTTTGATTTTATGAAATAAAAAATTTAGCATAAAAAAACTACAAAAATTAAAAGAAAAAGAATCTTTTAGTGGGTACCACTTTTCCTTACAATGCAAGCACTGTGTTTCTACATTCCTGGTTGGTTATGGACAACATTGCAAGGTCAAAGAGGTGAAGCATTTTGTTTACTATTTGTTTAAAATTCCTTAATTTGTTTAAAAGTAGTTCGTCATTTATGTCTTGATTTATTGTTGCAGAATTTACAACTCTTTTCTAGCTCTTGACATGGAAGCTGTAGTTCGTGAAGCTGTGTCCCTGAAAGCAACATTCAAATTTGAAGATCGAGTAAAAAAATTGACAAATTTAGTGAATTATATTGCATCTGGACTAAAGTTGAAAGTGAACGTATCTAAAACTGTTAGTTCTTTATTATTATGGAATGCATATATTTGATCTTTAAATAATCCTGGCATATCTTTTATCTTTGCTTATTCTGAAGGTAATCTTTGATTTCCATAAAATTCATATTCAATTATTAAAGTAAATCGTAGATGGCTTAAAGTATGCCAATGTCTAAATCCACAAGTAAGTAAATTTTCAGCATTGAACACGGCCGGTTCTGTACTTTAAAGCCTATTCGTTTTGAATGTGAAATTCCTAAATTTCGTTTTTGTCGACATCTTACATATGAACCGACTATATATATCGAATTTTTCTAGAAATGGTACAAGTTTCCAATTGATAAAATAAGTGGTTTATCAGTAGCAATTTATCTTCTTTCGAAGTTTTTAAATGTAGTAAATAATGCAGTGCAACTATACATTATTGGCCAATTTATTGGTTCCAGCAGTCTTTCCTGGTCTCTCACTGTAAGTTAGTCTACGATTTGATTTTTCGAAAATTTAAATTAAACAAGCAAATGACTCTTTCAGCTGAATTAAGAACTCTGATGTCTAATTGTACTCTTTATACAATTAATTTAGTTTTCTCCCACTTCTCATCCTGAGATTTCGCTACAGTCATTAGTTTGATATATGCCTGCTATTTTGCAATTTTTTTGACTTATTCAACGTTTTTAATAATAACTTTCTGTTTTCATAACACCATTACTGTGTCCTTGTTGAAACGTTAGGTATGTGCAGTTTTTACATATTAAGAAGTGTGGGAATGAAGAAGGAAAGAAATGTGGAAGTAAATGAGTAATCCTTTCTTTCATTCTCAATGATTTCACATAAAATACTATATTTTCATCATATTATATTTTCAGAAGATGCCATTCATATCATCGTATTTCCCATTGATAACATTTTGCGATATGGAACAACAAACACTAGGAAAAGTGGAGATGAATACATTACAATGTGTTTTGATGCTTAATTTCATTAATGAAAAAATTTTCTTCATGCTCTGGTACTGGATCTCTTTGGTATGTTGAATCCTACCACGCATTGTTTAGATTATGATTAAAAAAATTTTTTAGCAACAATTAAGAATAGCTGATTGGTTGAAGTTAACACAGTTTTGCTTGTTGATATTCATGTAATATAAATAAGAACATTTACTTCAAATGAAATCTTATATGAGGTATGATTATACTTGGAGATGTTAATTTCAGGAATTTTTTCTATCGATGACTACTCTAAGCGCTAATCTCAGTTTTTATTTCAGCTTTTTTTCTTATCGTTAGTAAATTTCATTATCACGTTTCTGCAGTGTACGCAACAACGATGCCGTGAAATTTTAATAAACTGCTATTTGCAGGTGAGTACAATTTTCAGTTTTAATTTATCGTTAATTTCTTTTTCTCTATGTTGGTTGTTTAGGTTTTCTGTATTTAGCCTTTAATTTAATCATTAAAAGCAATCATGTAATTTTTGAACTTATTCGAAAGATTAGAACTTTTCTTATTTAAAATTTAAAAACATTTCGTTCGCAGGAAAGTGAACTGAATGACGAATGCTGCTTCCTATTACAAGACAAAAGGCGCTTGCATATTTACGCTACAGAGGTAAGGCATGTTATTTTGTTTTTTGCTTGTATGTTTGCTAAAAATTTGATACAATTTTTGAATATTCATGATTTTCTAGTAAAAATTACTGAATGACTCCAGTGAGTTAGTTGAAAATTCAAAATTCTAATATTCTGTATAAATATTCAAAAATTTCCTACAGTTTCTTGGTCTGGATGGAGCACTGCTATTACGTTTCATTAACAATCATGCAGGCATCATTACGGCACGTGATATTACAGTCGGTTTATGGCACTATTTCTGTGACTTCTACCAGGTAATTTTTTATTATTCATTTATTTCATGAAGTTTACAATTTTGTTTTTTTAGTTCAAATAACATATCATATTAATGTAATTAGAACAATATTCTATTTCTATCTTCACTGAAGAATATATTAACGTGATAAAAAAACTGTGAGAAGAAATCCATCATCTGATAAACAGAATTTGATATATTCTGACAGTTATCGTTTTTTTTTTTCGTTTTCAGGATTCCAATTGTTACATATCTCGCGAAGCTGTTGCAAACATCAAGAAATCTTAGATTGCACATTCATCATCATATTTGTTACCTCTATCTTCTAAAACTTTTCTTAACACAGAGGGCTGACTCATAATTGAAGGGCACTTTTTATGACAAAAAGAATGTTATCAGAAAATTCTTGGATAAGAATTCAGTTTGTCCTTGGTTTTTCTGTTTTGACCTACAAATTTAAGTTTTGACGATTTAATGTATTTAAAGCTTTATTGATCCGACATTTTTAGATTTCACGCAGTAAAAATTAAAGATGAAATTCCTTGTACTGTTTTCTCAGAATAGGCAACCTATGGAAAATTCAACTCATTGTTAAGAATTGTAACGTAAGAAATCATGAAGATAAATTAAGAATATAAACTTTTGAAGTATTTTGGGTTTTCTTGAAAAAAAAAAAAACTTCTTCTGCGTTTGAAATTCAAAGTTTTGAGAGAGAGTTAGCTAATTTAGCTCAATTATGAAAGAATGCCATAGACTGTCTTGAGTCTTCGGTATTTGTTCATTACATTTGTAAAAAAAAATTCATCAGCTTGTATACAATTTTCCGTTGTAATATTAGGTTTTGAAGTTTTTATTTTTTTTGTGTTATATTTTCTTTTTGTTTGATATGCTTTTTTGATTTTTTTTTTATTGTTTGACATGTTTTGATTTTTTTGTTTTTGATTTGTATTGATTTTTTTATTTGGTATGCTTTTTTTGATTTTTATTTTCATCGCCATTATATTTTAGCAAAATTTAACTATACTTGTCAATTGATGCATAATTTTTATCTTAGTATGTTGATTTTTTTTGCCGTTCATTGTTTCAGAATTCTGCATAAACAAGAAAAAAATCATTTCAAGTCTTGACAATTCTAACAGTAAGACCAATCATCTTCTTAAATTTAAATCCGGCTTTTTCTTACTCATTTACTAAATTATTTATTCGATAAATTGACTTCTTCGTCTCGCAATATTTTGCAAAAATTTATTGAGATTTTTATCTACGAAGTTTGTCATAAGTGAAATTCAAATTAGCTCCAAAAACACTATGAGAAAATAGTAATAAAATGTCATTCAGTTTGTTAATCTTCAAAACTACACTGATTTGGTTAACCGTATGAGGAACTTCTTGCAGATTGTAATTACCTTTCCTGTTCACAATTAATTTTGATCAGGTGAAACTGAGCTCATCAATATATTGATAATCTGATTACGAAGAACGAGAGAAGTGATATCATCCAGGTTCAGCTAAGCTGATTTGTGTGGATTTTTTTTTTTATGTGAAATTTTCTGCAAATTGTAAATAACTGTTGTTCAGTAAGTTTTCCTCTTTGCAATTAGTTAGAAATGATTGATGGATTTCATCTTCGAATTTTTATCAAAATTTCTTATCCATTTAAATTTCCATACCCTGTGTAAATTAACATTTATCACTCGAAGATTTCTTTTTTTTTTCCAAAAAAAAAGTATAAAGCAACAAACTGGACAAAATAATAATATAAACAAATACCATTCATTTCATTTTTCATATACGATCATTGGAAAATGATTAAACAGACAATGATAAATTTTCCTAAACAAGAAAGATAATTCGATGAAAGAAAGCAAACCGCTGACGCATTATTTGTTTTATGTTTATGTTTATATTATAGAAGTTATTGTAAGAAAAATTGTAA